ATCACACATGTGAGATAAGAGGAGGGACCGCAAACACGGAAGAAAGGTCCCTCCTTCATACGCAACATGGGGGAGATACCACGGATGAGAGATGGGGGAGGGATGAGACGAAGGAGATGGGAGGCGAGAGAGTAGACCCAGATCGCAATGGCAAAGTCCAAAATAGTCTCTTGCCGAATGTCCCAACAATGTCCGTCCCAGAAATGTCGAATCAGATCGTGGGCAATATGCCCTTTACAACCTCTACCTGAATCCCTACTGATAACCTCTTACACTCTCATAGAAGAAGAAGAAGGAAGAGGGAGGAGGGAGAAGACAGAGAGAGAGAGAGAGAGAGAGAGAGAGAGGRGGATGAAGTCCTCCTTGCTATCTCACCTGCAGGTAGCTGCCACTTGAACTGACCTCGTCCGTTGCTGTGTGCAGGTACCGCGTGGAGCCCAGCTATGGCGCCAGGTAAGCTCRCCGACTGCAGGTATGGCCTCCGCCACTCTCTACCTCGCCTAACTCTACTCCCTACTCCTCTACTTAGCGCAGCATAGCGCARCCTCCAACCAGCAGCGTGTCGCTCAGAATGAGCTACTCGAACTCTTTTTGCCCAGGAGCTGGCCCAGCTATAAGTAGTGCTGGGGCGTGGTGCTGTACCCTCGACCTGCGATCTGGGCCGTGAGATCGTAGGTYCGATCCATGGTCCAGGTTGCAAGTAAAAGTCCTGTCCCTGGGTCTGGCCTAAAAACAGCCTGCCTGGGTCCCTATCGGACGTCCAGGCCTTCCCTGCTGATGCAGCAGGGAGTGTCTGCTACCAGACAAAAGCGAACCTGGCCTAAAAGGGCCTGGCCACGAATGGAGGAGGCCAAAAACGTGGCCTTGGTCCGAACAGATCGTAGATCTGTTCGGACGAACTGCAAGTCCGAAACGTCACCTGAAACAGACAAAAATAGAACAGGCAAACAGCAGCACACATAAGTAAAGAAATAAATAAATAAATAAATGAATGACTGCTGCCTCAAATCTGTACCTACGGCCTGTCCAATGGCCGTGGGCCTCCAGGTCGCGTGCTTGGAACAGGCGTGCGGCCTAGGGGCCCTCAACAACCGTCGGGCCCGAAAATGGGCCCATGTGTCAGGCTCAGCATGTAACAGGAGGGCTTCCTTCAGTTGGATCATTGTGCCTTCCACGTCTTTGGCATATTTTAGTTTCCGTTGCAGCTGATCCACCGTGACACAGTCTGCGCTTGCCGCTCTTCACCTTTTAAACCACCAGTACATAGGCACTTGGGTCGTGGGTTTGACACCTCAAATTCTGGAGGCTCGAAACAAAGACGGGGCCGCCCATCGAATTTATCAACGGCTGGCCCAGCGTTTAACGTTTCGGCCTCGTTTTCTTGTGGCGACAAGTTTTGGACTGCAAGGCTGGGGCCGTGCACTTGTGGTTTAAACATTGGGCATGATTTTGAATGACATCAGATTCTACCCGCCTACCGACCAAAACCGGATAGCAGCAGCCTATTTCAATATCTCCAAATCCTGACAGGGAACCATGACACCAAAATGAAAGGTATAACGTGCGAGAGCCAAAGGGAACATGGTACATGATGCCTGCACGGACGTGACCAAGGAGGAGGAGAACCCAGCATCAAGAGGGAGGGAAACATGAGGAATGAGATAAGCATGTGATTGGGTAACAGCAACCACAAAATGACAAGGCCCTGACGGGCACACTACCCCAGCAGAGGCAACAACAACCACTGAGACCGAAAACAAGGTACGTACCTTGTATTCAAGTTACCTCCGAAAAATGGGGTCTTAAAAATCGTTGGTAAGTTTTTGAATAGACGATACCCTTGAAGACAAGGTACGCACCTAGTATACGTACCTTGTATTCTACTTGTACGAGGTACATACCTTGTATTCTAGGTGTGCCTTGTCTGAGATATTTCGGTTGTTTTTTTTTTGTTGTTGTAATCTACTCACGACTTGCACAAAAGACAAAAATCATAATGGTGTATCTTCCATGTTCTAGCGGAAAATTCACTCTCAATTTTCACATGTCAAGAGTAGTGGAGTGATGCCCAGACTAAGAAGTCTACTTCACACAAGCTGAAGTATTTCATGCCGCCGTGGAATCAATGTGTTCTTTTTCAAAAAAAAAAAAAAAAAAAAAAAAGAACTTCACGCTGCAGGCTGCAGCGCCGTCCTGGTAGCGGTCGATGGGCGTCCTGCGAGCGGTCGACTGTTTTTATTCATGATATCTCTTCTCTCTCTCTATCTCTATACATCTGAAAGATACAAACTGCCCGACGACACACTCGGTCGCGGGCCCAAGGGAAACCTGTGGAGGGGTGGAACTGGGCAGGCGAACTGGCGCAGGGGCGAGTCCCAGGCCGAGGCGGGTACCGAGTGAAAATCGGCCACGGGGGTCCGCACGCGGTGCCGCAGGGGACTGAGGATGGTGCGGCGGTTGAAAACAGTGGCGACAGTTGGGGAGGCCCGCCGGTTGGAAACAGTGGCGTCGCGGGTGTAACATCGGGCGAAGGGGCGGGGGATCGACGACGAGGCGGGGTTCATCCAGGTAGTGAATATTTCCATGTTCTAGCGGAAGATTCATTGGATGTTGCACATCCTATCGATGGAAGTAGCATGAGCTGCGAGGTCGGAGAGTTATCGTCTCTCTCTCTCTCTCTCTCTCTCTCTCTCTCTCTCTCTCTCTCTCTCTCTCTCTCTCT